CACTTCTTCAGCCCGTTCCTACTTGGGGATCCTTCAGTTGCGAGTTCTGTCTGCTGCTGGTTCCAGACGTGCATTCCCAAACTGCACTCACCAGAGGGTGTGTTTGAGAACCCATCGTGGCTCATTTTTGAGACAAACTTTGAGCTAAAACCTTATTGATCATCTGATCTCCAAGATCCCCTTTGATTGATACACATCAGTGGAGTTTGGGTCTCTTAATAAATAGTGCTGCATTCCAGCCTGGGCAACAGAGCTGGACCCTGTCTCAATAATAATAATAATAATAATAATAATAAATATCAGAGTAGAGCTGATTTCCAGTGGTCCTCCAAGTCTAGAAATTCTGCCTCCCCGTAATATCCAGTTACCCAGGCAAATGGCTGCAGACTTCTTTCGGAAAGGTAGGCAGAAGAGCTACGCTATAAATTGTTGGCAGCGTAGTAAGATTCTTCTTCAAGGGGACCTTGCTTCCTCTTTCCTTGTTTAATGAGTTCTGGGCCTGTGAATTGGCTCATGTCTGGGAATTCAATGACGTATTCTGACTTTCTCTTATGGTCATCAAGTCAGATTTTTGTTCATTTAAGCCACAACTTTCTGTTTAGACAAATGAAAAAAATACTTCAGTAGGCTGCCCTGTTCAGTTCTAGGGACACTGTTGTCTTTGTTTTGTGTTGCTATACCAGAATACCACAGACTAGGAAATTTATAAATAAAATAAATTTATTTCTTACAGTTCTGGAGACAGAGAAGTCCAAGGTCAAGGTGTCTGCATCTGGCAAGGACCTTCCTGCTGCATCATCCCATGGCAGAAGGTGGAAGGGCAAGAGATCACGCTTTAGAGAGAGAGGAAGGTGGCCAAACTCATCCTTTTATTCAGAAACCCACTGCTGAGATAACTAATCCACTCTCCCAGTAACGATATTAATCTGTTTTTGAAGACAAGGCCATCATGACCTGATCACCTCTTAAGGTCCCACCTCTCAGTACTGTTGTATTGGGGATTAAGTTTTTAACACAAACTTTGGAAGATACATTTAAACTATAGCATTTCACCCGTGGCCATCAAAATTCATGTCCTTTCAACATGCAGTATCCATTAATTACATCACGGTGGCCTCAGAGTTCTTAACTTATACAGCATCAGTCCAGAGTCTCATCTAAATCAGGTATGAGTGAGACTCATGAACAGTTCATCCTAAAACAAACTCCCTCCAGCTTTGAGCCTGTGAAATCAAAACAAGTTACCTACTTCCAAAATTCAATGGTAGAACAGACATATGATTGATATTCCCATTCCAAAAAGTGGAAATAGACAAGAAAAGGGGTAACTGGTCCCAAGTGAGTCCAAAACTCATCAGAGAAAACAACATTAGGTTTTAAAGCTGGAGAATAATCTTCTTTGACTCCATTTCTCCCATTCTGGGCACACTGGAGTGGACGTTAGGCTCCCCAAGGCCTTGGGTATCCTTGCCTCTATGACTTTGTTGGAGCGAGCCCACACTTCGGCTCTCACAGGCTGGCATCTCATGCCTGAGCTTCTCCAGAGTTGTGGAGTTGCACTGGTAACTCTCCATTGTGGAGTCTCTGAGATGGCCTTGTTCCCATGACTCCATTAGGTATTGGCCTAGTAGGGGCCCTCTGTGGTGGCTCCTGCTACAACAAGTTTGTCCCTGGGCCCCAGGCTATATACTACATCCTTTGAAATCTAGGTGGAGGCTGCTGTGGCCCCATAGCTCATGCAGTCTGCAAGTTTGCATTTAGTACCATGTGAATACCACCATGACTTACTGTTTGTGCCCTCTGGAGGTGTGGCTGGGGCTCACATTGTACAGAAATGCAGGGAGTAGAATCCTAAGTTTCCCAGGCAGGAAAAGCTGAGACACCTTTCTGGAAACCTTGCCCTCAGGGCCCTGCTCTAGGCCTGTGATGGGAGGGATGGCCTCCAGGATCTCTGAAGGAATTTAGGGTCTTTATCCCATTGTCTTGATGAATAGCACCCTGCTAGTTTCCATCTCTACTTAGCTTTTTAGAAAATGGTCAGTTGACCACAAACCCTTGGTTTGTTCTGCTAAACATGCCTTTTCACACTTAATATTGCCAGGCTGCAAATTTTCCAAATTTTTCCATTCTGCTTCCCTTTTAATTATAAATTCCAAATTCAGTTTCTCTCTGCTCACATCTTACTATGTGCAGTTAAGAGTAGCCATGCAGATCTTTCGTTATTTTACTTAGAAATTTCTGCCACCAGATACTTGAGTTCATTGCTCTTAAGTTGTGCTTTCTGTAAGCCCTGGGGCATGGCTACAAATCAGCCAAGTTCTTTGTGACTTCATAAGTATGGCTTTTGCTCCATTTGCCAGTGCCTTGTTCATTTCCATCCCATACCTCATCAGAATGGCCTTCCTTGTGTGCTTCTACCAGCATTCTGATAGTGAACACTTAAGTAATTCCTAAGAAGGTTAAAGCCCTCCCTGCAGCTGTTGTCTTTTTCTAAGCCCTGACCAGAATTTCCCTTAATGCTTCCTTTATAGCAGACCAGGCTTTTTACAGCCATTTTCTCCAAGTTCTTCTAGTCCCTACTCATTTCCCAGCCCCAAAGCTGCTTCCACATTTTTAGATATTTGATATATCCACAGCCCTAATTCTTTGTTCAAGCTTTCTGTTTTAGTCCATTTTGTGTTGCTGTAAACAGAATATCTGAAACTAGGTAATTATAAAGAAAATAAATTAATTTCCTTCAGTTTTGGAGGCTAGGAAGTCCTGGGTTGAGGGGCCTTCATTTGGTGAGGGCCTTCTTGCTGTGTCATCCCATGGCAGAAAGCAGAGGAGCAAGAGAAAATGTACAAAAGAGAGAAAGGAAGGGGACCAAAGTCATCTTTTATCAGGACCCCGCTCCTGTGATAACTAATTCACTCCCCCAATGACAGCGTTATTCCACTCAGGAGGGCTCTGCCTTTCAAAGGTCCCACCACTCAACACTGTTGCATTGAGGATTCAGTTTCCAGAACATGGGTTTTGGAGGAAACATTCAAACCGTAGCCACTGTGATCAAGTAGCCATGGTGAATATTTCTGTGCTCAAACTCCTCTGCAGCATTAGTTCTGTTGGTTGTGATGGCAATACCCACCTTGTCTCTGGATGCTAAGTGCTCCCCTTGTCCTCTGCCACACTAATATCCCATCTTCTGGGTGAATTCAAGGAACCCACCCAGATGGCAGCAGTTCCCACATTAGCTCCTGGCCCACACGAGAGCCAGGTATATATTCGCAGATGCCAGGGATCCCCCTTTAAATGTATTTCTCATGGCCTTGGTGAAGGGGGGCATCCCTAGGACATAGCCAGGGGATTGGCAAACAGGTCTCCCATCATCAGGCAGATCCAACATTCCACTCTTGCTAAGCCTTTGAGGGAAGTTCTGACGTTTCAACTTCATTGAGCTTCACCCACTTTTGGAACAGGTGTCACCCAACCCAGCACTAACACACTGAGCCCAAGTTGGTGCTCTCATGTAAAAACCTGCCCTATTTACATACTGATTCTCTTCCAACTAGAATGTGAGCTAATTGAAGACAATAGATGTAACGGTTCTTTCCACTGTTGACTAGAAGAGAGCCTACTAGAGTGCATTGTCAGGATGGTCAGTGGTATTTGTTGAATCAGGGACTGGTTGGTTCCTTATGTGTTCATTCAACAGATATTTATTGAGTATAGTGCTCAGGAATAACAGCAAGCAATAGATCTTTAGAAGTGGAAGTTATCTGAATGATTATGAAGCAGAAAGATGGCCAGGGTTGTGACAGCAAAGGTAGAGGGAGTTGGGGGTGTGAGATGAAGTTTGGAGGTAGACAGTAACCATGCTTTGCAGCATGTAGTGGGTTACTGTGTGAGGAGTTTTTGTCTGGTATTCCAAGTGCAATAGGAAGCCCCAGGAGTGTTTTAGGCCAGGGAGTGACAGAATTTTCTATTTCAAGTTTACAGTGCCTGTTTGGAGAATAGGTTTAGTAAGACAAATTTGGGAGCAGAGAGATTAGTTGGAGGACTGTTTTTTATTCCTTTAGTGAAGACACAGTGTAGCTTGAACTAGGGCAGGGTGGGGATTGACATCTCCCTGTCCACCTACTGTTGTCACTAGTGCCGTGATGAAGCCTTGTGCTGTGGGCATGCTGTGGGGCAGCTTCTGTGGGACAGTGACTGCAGTGCAAGCATCTCCCTCTTGCTATGGTGGCAGGGTTGAAAGCAGACCAAGGTGGAGCCAGATAGATGGAAAGGAGTGGAAGGTTAGAGTGGCAGATAGGGTGCTTGTTTCACACAGGGCAGCAATTGCAGCGGACTTCTCTAGCATCTTACAGAGTACACTCAGCAAGCGCTCGAATGATACTATTTTTACCAATCAAGTTGCCTAATATATATAAAACTTAAGAAACAAAGCTAAAATGTGTACCACTTATTATTTTAGTATTAATATGCTGCATAGATGCAGTCTATGTGTAATTCTAAATAAGAATTTGGCTGGGCACAGTGGCTTATGCCTATGAATCCCAGCACTTTGAGCAGCTCTCGAGGCAGAGGGATCACTTGAGCTCAGGAGTTCAAGACCAGCCTGGGCAACATGGTGAAAGTCCATCACTACAAAAAAATACAAAAATTAGCCAGGCATGGTGTTGGTGGTATGTACCTATAATCCCAGCTACTCGGGAGGCTAAGGTGGGAGTATGGCTTGAGCCCAGAAGGTGGAGGTTGCAGTCAGCTGAGATAGTGCCACTGCACTCCAGCTTGGGTGACAGAGACAAACCCTGTCTTAAAATAAATAAATAGTCATAGTAATTTTAATTTTCAATCTACTTGTTTTATAAGATAGATTATAATGTTTAAATCATGCTCTATAAAAGTATAATGAACAGTTTAGTATATGAAGTTACATATATTAATAGTATGTTTTACAGACTAAGGAATTTTTATTATATTTTATTTAAACTATGTTTTTTATTTTTAATCCAAAGTACCAAGATACGAATATGCAGGGAGTTGTATATGAACTAAACAGCTACATAGAACAACGGTTGGACACAGGAGGAGACAACCAGCTACTCCTCTATGAACTGAGCAGCATCATAAAAATAGGTAAGAAACATTTTGTGTTCCTCTTAGAAAAATTGGGCCAAGATTCTTTTACAAAAAGCAGCAAAGAATAATTTGCTATACTAAGAGGCAGATAAAAGTCATTTATATTTACTTCTATTTCTGGAGTAAATCTGAAGTGAAAATATTTTATTATGAAATTACCAGAGTTAGTCAAACCTAAAAATTTCTAAATTATCTAATCCCAAATATCTGCATGATATATACATGTAATATACTATTCTTTCAAATTAATACCTAGTTTCCTTTGGAAAGTATAGTTTTATTGAATTAAATCACATCTTTATAAGAGATATTAATTTTAAAGAGAGAATAAGCATTTTAAATGTATTTGGGTAAATGACAATTTTATTACATAGACCATGTAAGAAGTGTTCTATGTTCTGAATAGAATGGGGAAAGTTATGTCAAAAAAGTACTATTTTAGAAGGGTGAACTTATTTTTAGGACATGATTTTTCAGAAGGATACCCACTCTGACAATTGTATCTTTTTTAAATTTGAAAATCAAAATATTGATGTTACCAACTGTAATGATTACATTTATTATTTTATTTAACTATATGCTATGCACTTGTGTATGCATATTATATGCATTAACTGACTTATTTGTATTATGGCCTCATGAGGTTGTTTTTATTATTACTACCACTTTACTGATGAGAATGCTATAGAACAGAGGGGTTAAACATCTTACCCAAAGTCACACAAGTAAAAAGCAGTTAAGTAGGGGTCTAAATTCAGGCAGTTCTTCTAAGACTTATGCTATTAACTGCTTTAGTTGCCTTCAGATGACCCTGAAGCAATTTTTGGTAAGTTAAAATATGTTTGCTTCAGTGACAATTACAGATGAATACATCAGCTTTTTTGCTTGATGCTTATTTTGGTTATTTAATATTATAAATATCACTTGTGGTATTTTAAAGACTTTAAAACTTAAATACAATTCTCCAATTTTAAAAATACTCATCAATAATTCTGAATACTTAAAGTCCAATGAATATGTTACTACATAGTACATTGACTGCTATATGCATTTGAGGATGTCATATCTTAAATTTTATACTCACTGGTGAAAAATATAGAAGATATTTTAATGATGCTATTGAGTAAAGCTGTAAATGATTTTGTTCCGTTTACTGCATGACCATTGATTCTGTTAACAAATCAGCTTGAAAGACATCTGCCTGTCACTGCAGAGAATGCATCCATGTCAGATTCTCCCACTGAGCTCAGTTTCTTCCTTTTCTTATTACTTTGGCAGCCACAAAAGCTGATGGATTTGCACTGTATTTCCTCGGAGAGTGCAATAATGTAAGTATCTAAAGTTAGATTTTGGTGATCTAGATAAGAAAATATCATAAGGTCTTTTTTTAAAAGAAAGTCACAAACAACAGACATTTCATGATTAATTACTTTTAATTTAAATTGATTTTGTATTTTGTTTCTATATTTGATTATTACCAGTTGAGAATTTTACTGACATGGCAACATTTAGGCATAGACTCGTGTGTGTGTGTGTGTGTGTGTGCGTGTGTGTGTGCGTGTGCGCGTGTGTGTGTGTGCGTGCGTGCGTGTGTGTGTGTGCGTGCGTGTGCGCGTGCGCGTGCATGTGCGTGTGCGTGTGTGTGCGTGTGTGTGTGTGTTTCTTTAGCTTTGGTTTGTGGCACCCTACATTATAAATGACGTTTCTAGATTAGTGTTTTGTATAAAAGTGATTCGGCACCGTGAGCTGGGATGCTGTAGAGGAGTGTCCGTGCCCTCCCTACACATGATCTACAGTAGAATAAAACGAGAACAAGAAGTTTAACATTTTTCTGGGTGAGTTTTAAAGTTTTTGCAGATGACTAAAAGTTCTAGGGCATAGTCCCAGGGCTCTGGGTCTACATCCCTAAGCTGCCTTAGTGTTGCAGGCTCAGGCCAGTCAAGGCATGAGGATTCTCAGCTGTGGCTGTTCCAGTCTTCTGCCAGCAGGCCGGATTCTGTGTTTCTGGTCTAACTTACCTGGAGCACAGTCCACCATAAAAGGCAACATGTACAGGCCCTTTCCAAAGTATTTCAGGATGTTCAATTACTGACATTTGATTTTTGATATGGTATTAATTCTCAGCAAATTAACACAAGAACAGAAAACCAAACACGACATGTTCTCACTCGTAAGTGGGTGCTGAACAATGAGAATACATGGACACAGGGATGGGAACATCACACACTGAGGCCTGTCTGGGGTGGGGGCTAGGGGAGGGATAGCGTTAGGAGAAATGCCTAATGTAGATGATGGATTGACAGGTGCAGCAAACTACCATGGCACATGTATACCTATGTAACCTGCATGTTCTGCACATGTACCCTAGAACTTAAAGTATAATAAAAATAAAACATACCATATGCATATTTTAGCATAATCTGAGCCAATAATACTTAAATAATTTTAATGTAGAAATTTCTTCATGATTTATTTGGAAGATTTTTACTTTACATTTCTTATGTGTTAGACATTAGTATTTGAGATTTGGAGTCTATTTTTGCAATATGCTACCTGTATTCTTGAGTAATCAAGATATATGTCACTTGCATTATATACAATGTTACTAGGAATAGAGACAAAAGCATTCTGAGATTTTTGATAAGACTCTTAAAACAGTTTTGCAAAGTGTGTAGATAGTTACACACAAATGTTTATTGGCTGATTTCATTAACTTATAGCTTATTAATTTCCATGGCCATTGTTTTCCCTTGTATTGTAATAACTTACGCTTGTTACTTCCCAAAATTAAAGACTGATTTAGGGCAAGGAACTTTTTGCATTTATTCTTGTATTTCCCAAGCCCCACTCCTAATGCCTTTCATATAAGCAGTCAGATAAGAATATTTGTTAATTTGTATTACTCAGATATTACTACTATTGTATTTCAGACACTGGTATTATTCTAAAATGGCTAAGCTACTAAAATAACAAATGTATATTTTTTCTGTGCATTAAAAATTATTTTTAAAATGTTGAAGTTTTTATTAAAAGTTAATAATTTCTTTTAGAAAAAAATTATACAATTTGCCATTATTTTTAATTGGCTGATAGGTGGGGAATGCACTGTATCGTGGTCCACGTTGCATTACTCCTCCTGAGTTGCCACCAGCAGCCCCTAGTGTGGCCACACAGCTGTGCTCACATCCAGCCCCTTACCCTTGGGTTTCTAGCTCATATCAAGGGTGGACATGTTGCCCATGAGGGCCGCAGCAGATTATTTGCTAAAACCTGTATCATGGACTTAGCAGTTATAGCCATTCACCTAAGCAAAAGTGGTAACAATCCTGAAGTTGAGGCTGCCTCTACAGGATGGTCTTCCTGCCCCGTGGATAGAGAATAGAGAGAGCTGCTGGGCAGAAACCAAGAGGTGCAGGCACCAGGCACCCTGTGGGCTACAGTGTGTGGGAGCCCAAATGCTGACTTCACAGGGCTTGGATTTAGGTTCCAAAATCCACATTTTTAATCACTTGGCTTTTAAACTAATTTTTTTTTGCTTTATTTGCAGACTTTATACATTGACCTCAATGAAGTGGTTTCCTCTTATGATTCAGCAAAAAACTTCTCTGTCTACAATATCTAAATTGTAATTATATGTATATCAATTTGAATTATTTCATCTTTACTTACCTTTTACTTTAGTAGCTTAAAGGACTTGGCACAATATCCTGTCAGTTTTAGTCTGGCTTCTTATGCTAAACTCCTAAGGTCAGTCAATTTGCTCTGCATGCTTCTCTCTAGGGGCACTGATAGTCTGTTCTTTCTTTCCTGCATCTCAGGGACTGAGTCTGTCTTCTTCAGTGTAATATCCCTATGAACAGCAGAGTACATAGCAAAATTATAGCTGTCTCTGAGCTTCCCAAGTCAGATCCCACTGTATTTTGCTTTCTCAATGTTATATACTTCTCCTTCATGGAACGTAACGGAGTCTGTGATTACTGTATATGTTTGTCTTTGATTTGAGTGACTATTTGTTTACCTGGCTTTTTTGCTAGAATATAAGCTTCATGAAGGTAGATACTTTATCTGCCTGGGAGGATAATTCTTGGGGATAATTACTGTGTTTCGCTCACTCTATTTTTCCGTTTATGCATTCCACCTTCATAGCTAAGCCCTTATTATTTTCTTAACCCAGGGATTTCTGTGGGTCGAAGGAGACATTGCCTGAGAAGTCTTAAATTCACTCAAGTGTTTCTTTAGATGTATTTACATTATTACTACTTTCTTTGTTCTTCATTTCCTCTTGTATCTCAAGTCATCCATTTGGGATCATTTTTCTTCCATCTGAAATATAACCTCTAGAATTTCCCTTAGTAAGAGTTTGCAGTTGGAAAGCTCTCTCAGTTTCTGTTTGTTTGAGTTTGTCTTTATTTCACCCACTTTCTTGGAATGTATCTTTAGTAGTTAAAGAATTTAGGTTGATAGCTTTCTGAATATTGACTAAAATAAAGATATTGTTTTTTAGTTTATTTTGGTTTTTATTTTAGTTTTTTATTTCCTGTACATAGTTTCAAGCTTGTCTTTTATTTTTTGAAATACATTAACTATTCTTCTTCTATGTTCTTCGAATTTACAGTTTCTTGGGTTTTGTTTCCTTTAACTCTGACAGATGGTGACTACTTTGCTTATGTGTTTTATGGTTTTCTTTTTATTTTTCCTTTCTCTTTCTCTCTTTTCTCTCTCTCTCACTGTGAATTTATTCTTCCTTATGCCCCTTAAATGGATACTCTCAAGGCTTGTTTGAAGTGCCTTTCCAGTTCCTTTTTGGAAGATAGATTTGCATTTGTTTCTGCTAGTCTCTTGAGGTGCTGATTATCTGGTTGAGTTTTTTTTTTCCTCAGGCTACAAAATAGTATGTATTCAAAAGTCAAATCCACATGATGCACAATTATGACTTCTTAGAGGAGATTTTTATTTTCCCTCCAATACTAATTTCAAAATAATTTGGTTTCCTTGCAGCTTCTTTGCTGGGTTAATGGTACTTGTCCTTCGACCTAGGATGAATGTTTGGCCTGCTGCCTGTCCTGGCCCTCTAAAGTGGTCTCTATTTAGACTTCCCCCACAAAAGGCCCCAACTTTTCTCTCCTGTCGTCTCCTGCTCTTCATGTGGCTTTCCCAGGAAAAGACCAATCTATTCAGTCCTTAGTTAATGTCCTCAAGAGATAGCTGGCTTTGGGATCTGGTTACATCCCACGGTTCCTTTATTTACTTCCTTTTAGATTTCTGTGGATTCCTTCCATTCTTCTCAGCCCAGCAAAGTAATATAAAAGATGGGTAAAATATATTTTATGCAGCCTTTAAATAAATTTGAAATTGTTTTTGCAAAAGTGTCAGTCAAATGATTTAATCTGCCGTATTGATTGCAATAGAAGATATGATTCTGAAATGTAACTAACCATATTAAATAAAACATCTCTTGTATAGGTAAGCAGATTCATGTATATATTTTTGTATTTCATCTTTTGCACATGAAAGGTAGCATAGTATACATAATTATCAATCTTTAAAAAATGTGTCTTGATAGCAAAAAAAGCCTTTATTAAGTAACTCAATTTCACAACAAAAATTATATACTTTAGTGACAAAATCATAATAAAACCCAAATAGACTGAGAAATTTTTTTGTCCATATCAACAAATACTAAAGGTTAAAAAAAGAAGGGATTATACAGTTTTTACACTTATTAAAGTACTAATTTCTTCTCAGTCAGTAGAAATACTTAAATTTCTGAAATTGATGTAATGAGAAATATAACTTAAATAGCATTTAAATATGTCAGAAGTTCTGATAGAATTTAAAAATGCACATTCATATAACCAGAGAGGAAAAAATCTTCTATGTGTTTTCTTCGTATCGAACATTTAGCAGAAGATAAAAACAAACTAAATACTAAAAAGCACTAAAAGTAAAGTATAAAATATTACTGTGGAAATCATTATGGGATTGTAACAAAATTACTTGTAAAGAAGATCCAACTGTTAAAAGAAAAGAAATTAAATCAGGTTTAAAAAACCAAACTGTCTTTTATTCTGGTGCTTTGAAGTTTCTGAAGCAAAATGCAGAAAAGGAACAGAATTGAGGTAGTATTTTGCTTATTGAGAGATCATGAAAACAACTTAGAAAAGGTTATCAATACCATTATTATTTATCTGAATAATATACATACTAAACTCAGTATATTAGGTTAGGATCTACCAACTTGTGGTTCCTTTTCTTTTCTGGGCTAGACCCTACTTTAATGTGTTTAACTTCTATTTAAGAATTCTTCATGGAATTCCTATAATGGCTA